CAGTAATTACATGTCATTACCATCATCACCATCATCATCATCATCATCATCATCATCATCATCATCATCATCATCATCATCATCATCATCATCATCATCATCATCATTATTATAATTATTATGCTTTCCATTACATCTTGTTTTTCTTTACTTCTCTTTCTCTTCATAATCTAAAATATTTGTAAAATTTAAAACCTTTAAATAGTTCCTGAAACATTACTGAAAATGAATAATGAAATTTGATATTATAAAACTAAATTCAAATAAATTGAGTCTAAATTTTACTGACTTCATGGGAGCACCCTTGAGTATCTGCGCACTTGCTGGTCCGTTCACAGAGCCCACCTCAGCGGCGACTTTTAATGCAGAATCTTCCTTGACCTGTTCTTCGTTTGTTGATGGAGGAGAAGACAGCACAGTTTAAACATCATCTTACAAAAACGGCTCTTGTCAACGCCATCCTCCCGAGTTAGTCACAACAGGTCAACCAATCATCTCTGGTACTTGAGACGACTTGACCTTCCCTGCCGTGTGCCTTCTCCGCGACGTGCACGCCTCGGGAGGGATTTTGAGACGGAAACGTAAGAACTTTAGACCCGACCCTTTTGTATGTACACTTGATGCTGTGAAAGTGTACATTGTTTAATAATATTATAAAATATTATGAAACTGAAAACAAACAACACAGATTTAATCTCAAAGTTAAAAAAAATCTATCATTTGGAAATAAATACGTTAGAACAAAATGAATAAAATGATTATTTTTCTTCTAGACTTATTTTTTCCCTCTCAGATATAGCGTCGATGGGTTTTTGCTCGTTTAATTCATCTTTTTGGCCTTTTCCACATTCTTCGTCAATAACTATCATTCAGGTTTTTGCCTGCTTCCATGAAGACGGTACGAAAAATAAATCTGTTTGCGGAATGAGATATTATCGCCCAGCAGGTGGCGTTTCTTGTCAATCTTAAATTATTACAAGTCAATACATCTCATCGAATGAACAAGGGTGTTTAATATTTGATAAACCTAACATCATAAATTTGAATAATACCGTCGGCACCATAGCGAGGCTATTACGGAATAAACGATTCCTATAAACGGCGCTAGAGGGCGCCAACAAAAACAATACAGGCATATTGTCCTTTCATGACAGAACGAAGGAAATTTACGGCAATTTAGAACAATTTCAGAATCTCTTCAAAGTTACACTTGATTTAATTGACTTTTCTGTTTTTCTTGTTGTAAAAAATGTAAAGTCATTTAATTGTTCTGAATGTTTTTTGTTTTTGTTTTGAATAATGAAAAAGAAAATACCTCGAGAAAGACCGAACATATTTCTTTTATTCGGTTATTTGCCCGAAGAATGAAATCAGGAATGTTTGATTTGAATTCTTTTATATATGAATAAATATATTTATTCAATTTATTTTTGTTTCGGCATTCTGACTTTTATCAAAATAATACAATTGCTTTTATTATTTTAAGAACGGCACTATCTAAAATCTTTGCTAGAAATGTTTTGTTTTACTAATAAAAATCATAAGACCGAAACCTAAATAAAATGCATGACTGCCAATCTACTTTTTATCTAACGGTTTATAATTCCAATGAATTATGTCTGTGAGATATTAAAAATTAAAAATATATTGCATATTATTGTATTTCTTAAAGCCTTAAGATTTTATGTTTATTTTATTTATCATATTTTCTTTTAATTTAAAAGAAGATGATCTAAATTAAGAACAGGAAAAATGTTGACAATTATACAAATTAGGCAATTCTAAATCAGTTACTATATATGATCCGGGACGTCCAAGATATTTCTTACAGAAATTACCTATAACATGCCAAATATGCAGAAAAAAAGTCTCTTACTGCGTTAATAACGGGTGAATTTTGTTATAAAAATAGTACATGTTGTATTTTGTATAATAGATCTACATACAAACTGAATGTGATAATTCATAAATTACTTAAATTGTAAATAGATACTTTGTAAGTAAGATTGATGTAATTTTACTCGTCTGTGAAAGTGTCGCCTGAATCAAATACCGCAAAATCTTTTAACTCTAAATTATTCTTGATAAATTAATTCAACCAAATAAAAAAATGCAAGTTCTTATCTATAAATCATGTAAACTTGACCAATACCCTAAAATGCTTGCTGCTTTTTCTTATAAAAGTCCATGTATAACAATTGAAATTCATTTCATGCCATATGAGCTTTATCAAACTTTACGTTGAGTACAGATATTTTCATTTTAGCATGGAAGCCACAAGGATAACAAATATTTTAAATAAATAAAAATTGGATAGAAAATAAGAGTTTTGTCCGTCTTACACATTTAGAACTGATAATTTCCACATTCAGACGATCTATTGCATGTCGTATACGAGAAATAACAAAACAAGGTGTCTAATGGAAGCGTTCTCTTTACGGGAAGACGAGAGTTTGTAAAAATGCGAGTTAATGATAAATATGGGTCACGTTGATGCCGTGCACTCCGTATGAAACTTTATAATTACATATCAGAGCTGATAATTTAGTTATTTCGACTTTTACAAAGCCCATATTTGTCAATACATACACATAGTCTTGTACGATTCTCGATGGCGAACAGAATAAGACAAGTTTGTATCATGCAGAACTAAGTAGTAACTATACAGATTGCAGACCGGTTAATAGTAAACAACACCATAACACATACGCTTATAAAAAGCAAATTACAATTCTTAAACTTTGAAGCTTCTACTTCTGCTGTTGCTGCTGTTGTTGCTGCTGTTGCTGTTATTGCTGCTGTTATTGCTGTTGCTGTTGTTGCTGTTATTGCTGCTGTTTTTATTAATGATGATGATTATGATGACGGTGATTATTATGATGATGATGATGATGATACTGGTAATGAATGCAGATGAGAGAAGTACAACCTCCCCCCCCCCCCGGACTCCCTTTGCCAAACGCTTACCGTGTAAAAATATTTTTTAAAAACTGTTATTCAATATCCAGCACGTTTAGAAAACTTGAATTCATACTTTTGGCTCCTTGTACGGGTCTTGTTGAGACGTGCACTGGCGTTTACTTAAGCACAAAAACATTTTTTGCTCTTTGGTTATGCTCCTTTTTCCGTGCCGTACTTCGTGCTTATGTTTAACAAAGTACAGAATAAACTCGGTATTCTAGTATCATCAAATGTCTTCAAGTATAAAATATACATATTATATGATGAGGGTTAGTAGTCCTTATATATTCCTCTTGATAATTAATGATCTTTTTTACCAGGTTTTAATGACCTTATAAGATAATTAGAAGACCATATATAAATCAATTGTTCCTAATTAATGATAAAAGAAAACGACCTTTTTTCTCTCAGAATTTGATCATAAACCGGATATGTTGTATGTGTTAACTTATTGCAAGTCCACTCTTATACCATATATGTGTTGTTTTTTTTCTGGAAAATATCAATGGGTTTTTCGTGGATAATACTAGAATACAATCCTTGTGGCAATAGTGCAAACTTTGTAAATTAGGATTAAAATATATGAATCTAGTGTAGTATGGTCGACAAAATGCTTACCGTGATTAAGTTGTAAGTGATCTAGCCACATTTTTTTCAAACTAACGACTGTATTTTTTGGTTTTATCCATGTTTTTGTTTTTGCTTTTTCACGATGTTGTTGTTTACCTGATTTTTACTATTTCAATAAAGAACATTATCTAGATAATCACAAATATTTGTCTGTATTGTATTTTTAAAGAAATGACAGAGAAGAGGTTATAGTTCATGCTTTTAAAAATGCGGACGGTGGGGGGGGGGGGGGGGAGTTGTGTATTTTAGTACTTGTTTAGTTATTGGTGTCACAAAATAAAGAGAGATAACTCTGTTGTGACAACAATAAACTAGTTGAAGAGTTGTCCTTTCTGTACGATAAAGTGTTTTTTCTTTGTTGTCCTTTAGTAAAATCAACCGGTGCACTCTTAGTACTTTCAAATATTAGTTTTCTCTAAAATCAATGTGTGTTACTACTGTTTACATACCGCATATAATAGGTTAATGTATCATGTATATAAAACAAAATTATATGCTTAAGAATGAAAATCCTTGTTTTGAAATACTCATTGTTTTTTGGTTTAAGAAAACAAAACAAAAACAAAAATGTTTTGAAAATTACTTTTTGATAAAGAAACACTCTATATTTTAAGTCAACGTTTATTTTTTTGAAAAAAAGACAACACTCTTTGTTGCAAAAAAAAATTCGTTCTTTGTTTGTATGGAAACCAATGATTTGTTTTTAAGAATTTTTCGTTTCTTGTAGAAAACATCTTTTACTTTAAGAAAATCATTCTTTTGTTTTTAGAAAACACTCTTTGTGCTGGAATCAATTCTTTGTTTGAACAAAACAAAAACAATGATTTAAGCATTTTTGTTTTGTTGAAAAAATCTTTGTTTTGTAGACATTCTTTGTTTTGTGGAACATTTTAAATGTTTAGAAATATCAAAAGTAATTTTGGTCATGAAAACATATCTACGTCAAAATAATTTATTGATTTTGGAATATATCTATTTGAAAAACGCATGCATCTTTTTTAGCCTCTGATATTACTTTATTAAATATTTACCTACTTAATAAAATATTCAGTGCAGCTTTCGGGTTCACTGAATATTCATTAGAGAGAGATAGGTTTTAGGGTGAATCTGCAGTCATCTAATAAATTCTCATATTGGTTGTGTGTACTTTTTAAAACTGACTTTATTAATGAACGATTGATGAAGGAACCTAGTTATTTAAAGTTAGTTTTAGTTGAAAATTTATAGATTTTAATATACTTTCTACAAAAAGTATGTGTATGTGTGTGCTTTTTCTTTCTTCTTGCAAAATGTTATCAATTTTACATACCGCAATAGATGAAATATAAATCATATCATGACATTGTGGAAACGAAAACTGGAAGTATACGATCAATATTTGGAATACATTTAAATGCTCATATATCAATATGAGGCGAAGTTGTATATTAGTTGTTGTTTGTTTGATGGAAAAATTGTGCGCAGAGTCGGGAACCGACGTACAGGACGTGTTGACCAAATTGTTTACAACAGACAAATATAACAAGAAAATACGACCACTTGTGGATCAATCAGGGGCAGTACAGATAAGCGTTGACTTCTTTCTTACATGTAATTATCAGTTTCTCACAATCCAATGTAAAACTTTATAATTGATTTCTGATTGTCTTTGATTGATTAACAAGTATACGAATGTTCTGATTGTTTAAATTGATAATAAATTGATTAAAGACAACAGGAAATTTAAAAATTTTTTCAAAAAGTTAAAGAGCGGGAGAGTAAAAAAAGGGGGCATGAAAAAAAGTTTGGGAACAAAACCAAAAAATGAGAGAAGGTGGGGAAAAAATTTGACAATCAATTGTCTTTTTTTTCTCTGAAAAGTAGAGAACTATCTAATGGCATGTCAAAAAAAAAATTATGGGAGATAATTTGACCTTAACCCTTTCAAGTTTATCATCGTCCTTCACAGTTTTTAAATTTTATTCCGGAAGTTTTTCTGTTTCTGTATCACTTTCAGAAATCTATAAATAATGTAAAAAAGTAACACATTATTATGATCGAAGTAAAAATGGCTTATGTTGAAAATGATACCTTTCCAAAAAAACATATAATAACGGTCGAAGTACGATTGTATCGTAATATCATATTCATTACAAACGGAACACCTTGTCCTTATCCGAAAATATGACGGAAATGGCCGAGAAAGTGCTATTGACATATATAACATATATTATGTAATAGGCATACGTTTTTTCTTGTAGCAATCATAGATTTCAATGATCAAGACGAAAGTTTAAAGACATCTGGATTCCTAAGCATGGAATGGACGGACGAATATCTACAGTGGAACCCGGCTAACTACAACGGGGTGGATGTTATATTTTTAGTAAGTTACATGTACAAAATTGACCAAATATAAGGCACACGTTTCACTCTTTCATGTGAGGGTTCATTTAGAAAATAAACTGATCTTTTTAAATCAATATTTAGAATAGAAAATCTATGTCGATATGTCTATGGTATGAAATTTTAAGCAAACCAGGAGTTTTGAATATAATCTTAAACGTGTCCACCCGCGTAATTCAATAGAAAGACCATCGGATATGTAATCCCGGGGTGGCTGGTTCGATCCTCGGGCCACCCGACATTCCTCCGATAATGACCCTAATGGTCATTTGTCCTTCACCGCTGGTTCAGAAATCATGTAGGATAAGTTAATCACTGACAAGAAACTGGTAATTACTGGTCAGTTTTCTAGGAAAGCCGTATTAAAATTGACCTAAAATAGAAAATAAACCAACAAACAAAAGTCAAACACTAAAAAAGAAAAAATAATTTTCGATCATTATTTATATTTAGCCACAAGACGACATCTGGCGGCCAGGTGTGTCTCTACGGAATCCTTACAAGTCCTTCACAGGCCTTGGCTCAGCTTTTCTGAACTTGAGGGTAGATTCAAGCGGAGGCGTCGAATGGTACCCATTTCAGGTAAGATTTGAATGGTTTTAATTTCTTTTTATTTTTTTTAAGTCGTAGGGACTTTTTGAATCATACCACTGCTTTGTATAATCCAGATTTAACATGAACAGCTAGCGATAATGTATCATTGAACAGATATTAATTTTTGAAAATGGTATGCTATTATGAAATAGATAGATTTGATCACTAGATGATAGTAACGAATGTAAATAGATGAAATGATGGCCAAGTGGTTAAGTTGTCTGGCTCTTAACCAAGCAATCTTGGATTTGATCCCTTATGGGGTCACGACTATTATGCTTCATACGACACCACAACTGGTTAGGTCCAGGAAACCGAATCGACAATGGTTGGAATAATCTTTAAACTGTCATTACATCCGACAATAAATGTGTTTAAACTAACAGCACAGGGGCAGTTATATGTTGACAATGTTATGCATATAACCGCGAAATGTACAATTATCTAATTTGTGAAAAATGACCTAATATTGAAAAGCGTTGCAACGGTTTTCACTCAAATCGGGCTAAAATTGCACAACCATACCATTTTCAATTTATTTTTGGGTACATTTCTTAATTATCTTTTGCATATCTTTTTGTTTTAAGTCTCCAAGTTGTTAGTTTTTTATGTTTTTAGGGTTTTGTACCTCAGTGGAGTTCCTTTAATTTTTTATACCACTGCTACACGTTTAGTGACATGAGAATAGAATGGCCTTCACTCCGGCTTTGATCATGCCAAGAACAATGCGTAGAAACACATCATATCATTGTATTCTTTACCTATCTCACCACTATACAGAATCTTTTGTATTGTTTTCATATAAAATGAGTAGTGGTTTAAGTTATTTGCTTTCTTTTTGTTTATTGGTATGAGGCGACTATTAGCAGATTTTCTTGCATTCCAGGTGTTCGAATCTACTTGTGACGTAGACATCACATATTTCCCCTTCGACACTCAATCTTGTGAGCTCAAATTTATTGCATGGAGTTATTCAAAAGAGGAAGTGGAGTTAAACAAAGGCAGCAGAGGGGTAATACTCGCGGAGTATTCTGCAAACGCCGTGTGGGATATCGAATCCACATCCGCGATAGAAACTAACACCGGAGAAGCGTCTGTAACCTTCATCATCCGGCTGAAGCGCAAAGCTATATTTTATGTCATAAATATCATCATTCCAGTGATTCTTCTGTCAGTGCTGAACGTGTTTACATTCGTATTGCCCGTGACAACAGGGGAGAGGGCGTCCTACTCAATCACCGTGTTCCTTTCTTTGGCTGTCTTCTTAACGATTGTTGCCCAAGAGCTTCCCACTAACTCTGACGTCATTTCCCTTTTGTCAGTTTACTTAACAGCTATGGAAATTCTGAGCACACTAATAGTCTTGATATGTATTTTACAGCTGCGATTGGCAACACGAATTGTTGAGGAATTTCCGATCAACAAGTTTTACAAGACCATTTACAAGGTCTCCATGTTTCTACAATGCAGAAAGCAGAAAAATAAAGTGAAACCTTTGAAGTTACCTGATAAGAAAGCGAAAGATAAACTTAAGAAGGAGGACGAGTTTGACTCAGAAAGAAAGAAGTGTAAGTTAACATGGATGAAAGTTGTAAGTGCAATGGATTACTTGTTATTTTGGATATTTCTTTTGTTAACATTTATCATTACGTTAGTACTGTTTTTGCTTTGTGCAAATAACTGATATATTGCTTACAATATTATTTCAGCATTCTACCCCCCCCCCCCATCTGTCTAATACTTTTATGCGAAATGTTTGTTGCTGCTTTTTTTTTCAAATACTTTATGTCCTTGGACATAGCCTGTATGTGTCATCCATTTGATCCTTGCAGTCACCTGAAGAGGATTATAAACACGTAGGGGATAAGATAACATAGATTATCGCATCAACTTTTTTTTTCAAATATTTAACCCCATAAGAATATTCGCTATTGTATTATTATTTTTTTTGTTTGATAAAGGGCTAAACAACGAATTCTTCTGCAACTATCATATTTAGAGAAACTGCAATGCCAGAGTATGTTTAATCTTTGTGTATTGAAAATTGTAAGCCCGTTCGAGAGCATTTTTCTAATGATTTAATATCTAGAATGAAAAAAAGAAACAACATGACTGAACAATTAATAAAGTTACTGGAAAATTTTATATTAATGAATATTGTCATATTAATTGAAAATATATGAACGTCATTTTTTAAATAATTTGATCTCACATCTCAAACACGTCGACATACAAAGTGTACCAACAAGAAAACATGCTTAAAAGTAACCGTAAGCAAAGGACTTTTTTAAATTAAAGAAATTGTAAGTACAATTCCGTTCCTTTGTATGGAAAATATAATAACAAGATCATAAATTATATGGCGGCGGAAAATGCAGATGTAAACTCAGCCGCGGATTCAGCCCCGGGCTTCAGGGCTGCAGCCCCCCCATCTCGGCCCAAAGATACGTTTTCCAGCTGGGCTGGTATATTTTAATGCATTTTATGGTCCGTAGTGTATTCCGTTATCAAAGCAGTTGATTACCATTATCTAATTGTTAATCTCTTGCCTGGGGGCTTGGTTGAGAGTGTAATTATCGATCAACAAGTTATACACGCTTGATTGACATGACCGTTGAAACGGTGTATTTGATTGGCTGATCAATTTACAATCATCTAATGAAAATAACAGTTACATAAAGCGGCGAAGTTTGGCAGTTTGTTTACATGTGAAAATGGAGTTGCAATTTTCTTTAAAAACTGTTAGTTTCTGGCCAGATTGCGGCTATTATCAAAAGGTAAGTTTGTAGCTACTTATCACTTAATTAAAAAATCTGTTAATGAAGCAAAAATGATCTGAATTGATTCATTCCAAAATGAAACGCTCTCAAGCAACATTGGATTCCTGCTGGGGTCAAATTAGAAAACAACAAAAACTTGATACAACCAAATGTCTAGGTGATACAAAAAAGTAAGTTACATGGTTTGTTTGCCAATGGAATAAAATGTTTTATGTTATACCATGGGCTGAATTTAAAGGCCTACAGTAGCAGTGACTGTGTGCGGCAGTACTTGAATGTTTAACTTGACCCCTTCAACAAACAAAGTTTTCAAACAGTTGAAATTTAACTGATTGGACAGATTTGTCTGGATTGTAATAAGATATCAATTATATCAGCTTTTTTTAATTTTGTCATATTGATGTTCTTCAGTGCTTACAGGGAAATTACAATTATACCTCGTGAACATACTTAATTTTTTTTGTCTTGTCATGTCTCAATTATATTTCACTTCATATTTAAAAAAATCTACTAAATGCATTATCTTCTCCCTTCTTAGTTCTTACAAGGGTCAGCTCGGCCCTTAAAATAACTTGGCTACAAAATATTCTACAATTATTGCAGGTCAGACTCCAGGGTCGGAACTACATACGATATAAGTGCATATGTGAAACGACAAGGGTCCCTGACTGATGCTGAAAAAATGCACATATTAGAGAAAGACTGGACTCCTCCACTCAAATTTGAATTTCCAAGGAGTCAATGTGGCCAATTCAACCGGTCCTTTCAGAGAGCTTGGCTCACAAAGTTTCCAGGACTGGTTTATAGTGCTAGTGAAGATGCTGCATACTGTGTTTATTGTGTGACATTTCCAGGAGTCAACCGTAAGCGTGGTCAGTTTAGCATCAGAGCCCTTCAGAAATTGGAAGCGCGCGCTTTGGAGGTTTTCAAATGGCCATTTTCAAAGAACAGAAAAAGAAACGTAAAGATGGCGGAAATGGATACCATGCTCACATGGACAGCAAAGTGCATGCTGAACAGTTCACAGCGTCTATGTTGTCAAACATGCCGCAGTGACCAAGATGATCAACACTGCCCTGAAGGCCAGAGAAGAGAAAAACTTCAAAGTTTTACAGTCCATCACTAAAAAACTGTTTGTTATGTGCTAGACAGAATATTGCCTTACGTGGTCATCGTGATGATTCCAAGTATTTACATGAAGATCAGAATTGTGGAAATTTTCCAAGCACACTGCTTGAGGTTTCAGACTTGACGCTGGTGATTCACTTTTGAAAGAACACTTTGATACAGCCCCTAAAAACGCAACATATAGGTCAAAGACTACACAAAATGAATCTGATTGAATATTATGGGTGACATTCGTGAAAGAGAAAAATAGTGGGAGATGTAAAGGATGGTGGCTATTTGCTATGCCATTTCAGCTGATGAAGTACGTGACGTTTCAAACAAAGAACAGCTGGCAGTCTGCATCAGATTCCCTGACAAATCTGGTAAGAAAATATTTGTTTATAATTGAGATATGTAAATACATAATACACTTACTCATCCATTATAGAAATAAGCTTCCATATATATTTATATATATGAGAGAAAGAATGTCATGAGCAGAAAATTATTTATAGAGAAATCATACAAAAAATTCAGCATGCTGATATGTAATATTACATTAACTTTTGTGCAATCAATTGTCGTTGTTGGGGTTTGAACCTTGGACTCATATTCTTGAGAGAAATTGCCCATATTATATTCATATCACTTTTATTGCCATCAAGTCCCAGTGACTTTACATTTAATGATTTTAAATTTACTTTCTTTTTTTAGGTAGATAAGAGAGGAGTTCTTGGACATTTGTCGACGTCAGTTCTGCACACAAGTGGTGAAAGGTTTTTGTCTGAGGAGATAAATTGGTGTGCTAGACAGTGTAGACTTGGACAAAACGTCAGATGAGGGGCCAGTGCTATTGACGGTGGGCAGGTTAGTTTTTATTTCAATTTGAAAAATTATATTTTGTTCATAAATGCAAAGATGGTTATTCACTGGTATCATTAACCAAGAGGGAAATAAACTTATTGATACAATTAATGACTTGTCTGGCAATTTATTTTAGGATTAGTCAGGCCAAACCCAATTGTCATTGCTTGCCCTTTAAGTATGCTAAATTTTACGAGATTGGCTTTTAAAACATATTGAAATATTAAAATTTATTTGTATTTATTGGAAATGAATTTCAAGTCTCCCAACTTGTGACTTAATTTATATTTCAGGAAAACATGAACAGGAAAAGTGAAAGGAGTTGGACCAAAAGGATTCAACGTCAATATCCTCGGCGTTCCATTTTGGGGGTTGTCAGCCCATATCTGAAATAAGATGTTGGTGCATGCCTGTGAACAACGCATTGGTCAGAAACATGAATGGGCACAGTGGAAATTAAGGGTATAACATTTATGTTGGTGATTTTAAAAAAAACATCAAAGGCAATTAGGTGAAGAATCTGGGATATCAATTTTCTTTACTGAAAACTAAAACATGAATCAAAAAGAAAAAGTTATGCTTATTTTTGCAATGGAAAATTTTTGTGAAAAATTTCTTCTGAATGTTTATATAGTTAAAGTAAACGCAATAGGGAAGCCATTTACGTTTTCTTGTCAAAGGCCATTCATTTAAAAAATTTTATGTTACAATTTTTTTAAAGTTTGATTTTTATTGAAATTTTTGACTCTGGAAGGTTATAGTTTAAAAAATATTAACATATGGGTTCCATTTAAAATTTCATTTTAAATTAAATTTTTTTCATCCCAAACAAGATATTTTTAGGAGAATTTTTAAAATTTATTTTTTGTTTTTTATTCCGGTTGTTGTTTTTTAAACCCTTTTAAAAAAAGAAAGAAATACCTTTAGGGGGTAGGGAAGAAAAGAAGGTAAGAAAATTTCGGGAAATAAAAATTAAGGTAAGTTTCCCTTTTATACAAAACTTTTGAAAAATTTTTGGGCATAAAAGGATTAAACCCAAAGAAAAAAATTAAAGTAAAGTCAAAAAAGACCAGGTTTAAAGGTGAGAAAGAAAAGGGGGAAACAAAGTTTCTCGGGGGTTTTTTTCCCTTAAATAGAACACTTTTTTAAAATTTTATATTTTGCTTTTACATCATTAGCTAAATTTTTTAATTTTTTTTAAATTTTAATCTATAACAATTCTTATTTTAATAAAATGTAAATTTTCAGGAGTTATGTCGAACACGTTGGGTAGAAAGGCACGATGCACTAGAGAATCTTCATTGATTTCTCCCCAGCAATGGTAGAAGCTATGTCTCAATTTATGTCTTGTTGAGACCAGATCAAACTACATCCCGCAGATATATCAGGATTTCTGCTGGCGATAACCTCATTCCAGTTTATCGTAGTATTGGTTGTTGTGAAACGGTGTCCTCAGTTACATCAAACCTCTAACAGTTTCCTTTACAAAGGTAAGATCAGCTGTTGCTAATCTGACTGTCAAATCTACCAATAGCTTTACTTTTATTGAATTAAGGGCAATAAAGCCTTGTGCTATCTCCTTTTTGTCTGTTTTGCTTTTCCCTTGTTAATCTTTGTTGATATATTTTTATATTAAATACTCTAAGAAATCATTGTTTTTCAGAATCATTTTCCTTCATTTACTGAGATAGTTATTGACTTAAGCATTAGATAGATAGATGATAACTTATTGTAAATCCAATCTGAATTATTTTCTTATGCTTTTTATTTCAAGGCAGGGGGCAGTTGATGTTTGTCAAAAGCTATGGCCGAGGTCAAGGTTGTCACTGAGACTCTCCAGGACGTCCCGCACTAACATCAATGACTTTTTCATCAGAGATGGTACCAAGAAGCAGTGTTTGATAGCCGACAATTTAGGGACTGTTACCTTCTAAACTTTAGAAACCTGTGGACGACAACTATGAGAGGAAATGCAGAGGCCTCTACCCCACAGGATTATTACAGGAGGAACTTGACCATTGGATTTCTTGACACTCTGCTATTGCAGATTGAATGAACGTTTTTGGTGAGCTACAGAGGAAGGCTGCTATGGGACTAGCTTTGATTCCTTCCTATATGTGTGAAAA